AAAAAAAAAAAGTAACTAACTTATTTCCAGCTTTAACCAATAAAAAAATATTTATTAAAAACTCATTTTTTACTTATAATCAAACAATATAATCTTAGTCAAATATGCTAAAAACCCAAAATCCAAACAACTCCATGATTTTACATGATGCAGAATTATTGTGTACTGTCAGTCGATGATGATAGATAGATATACCTCAAACCGGCAAAATATGCACAATGCATTACCAATCAACAAAGTATATTAGTTAATTTTCATTAAAAGAGTCTAATATCAGATTTATCTGGTCATTTTTCAACGTGGAAAGTTATCGCATATAAAATTTCAGCTAGAAGGTCCAGAAAAAATTAAAACACATAACTCACCTTAAATAATGCAAACACTGCTTCACTCCAACTTGTTTTCAGTAATTTCCCATATCTATTGGGATTAAGGAGCCATATAAAATCTACACCACAGATGTTCCCACGATGATTCCGATGGCTTACCCACTGCATAAAATCATAAGCATCAGAAAAAAGGAAATTTCCCGAGTCACGAGTCACGAGTGGCTGAGATAATAAATGACAATGGAGAGGAAAATTACCTTGTGGGCATCTGAATCGCTGTAATGATGAGCAGTATCATATGACGATACGAATCCCTGAGATCTAAGAAACTTGTAAACATGACCCCTCTTGCTTCCATTCCAGTCACTGCATAAGTTAAATATGTGTATTTGAGTATTATTTTGTACTCACTAGAGACCCATCATTAGGGCATGTTTGGTACATAATCCAAGACCATTTGGACAACACTAATGAACCACATTGTTAACTTCTTTTTCTTATTTCTGACAATGCTATGAAAGGAGAAAGCAAAAGAATACAAACTTACCCACAGAGTACAATAGGCATTGGACTGAGCTTGTTTTCTTTTTGATATGATTCAATATTTACCAATATTTTATAGACCTATCAAAGGATGCCATCAGACAAAATAAGATTACGAAATAATGTCAAAATGAGTACAAATGAACAGCATACAGAAAAGGGTTTCCACATACCTGTCGCAGTCTTTCCAAGCACAAACTTGAATCATGTGGAAACAATAAGTGCGTGTTCACTATAAGAATTTCTCGGCAAAGATTGCTATTTCGACATAGTGAGAAGGGCGCAATAAGTTCAACGTGTAATAGCTGAGCAACGCGGTCTCCAAAATCATTGAAAAACAAATCTTGATGGCTGATGACCCTAAAGTAGTCCTTATGTACAGCAGTCAAGAGACCTAAAAAAGTTTAAGAAAAGAAGAACTTTTTGTTGGAATTAAGAATAAGACCATTTTGAAATCAAATGATGAGCACTGTCCCAACATAGTAAAATGTAAAAATTTAAATTCTAAAATTAATATGTAAAAGTGAATTAGAAAATGAATCCTCCTATCTCCATAGCAGAGTATCAAGTTTAATGAACAGCTTTAAAGGAACAGTGTCAACTGCCAACACCTTCCATTTAAAGATTATCGAACTTCATTTGACCATAACCATATATACCAATAAGTTCATGTTACTCTTTTCTATGATTTTGTATTTGTTCTTGTGTTTCTTCTATTCTTACACAAGGTTCAAAACACATCAGTAATTCAGTCAATTTACAATAAAACATATTGGATAGACCACACCAAACAAACTCCGAAAATTCTCAAAAAATGACAAATGTACAAAAATCAAAGATATATTCAATCAGGCAATTCAGCAAGCATGCCAGTTTTTACATAAGAACATAATCTGAATAAAGGTCAAGAGAAGGCTATATTCTCAGTCAATACAGCTTGCTCTCGAGTCTCGGAGCAGCCAGATTTGACAGAAGAACATAAAATGCAACGAAGGTCAAGAGAATAAACTCATATTCCAGAGTGGAAAACAACTGAAATTACAAGAACCACAAGAATACCATCGCCGCGATTATTTGTCCGTGCAAGTTTTAAATTGATATATCCAGCATCACCAAGCCTCTTATCATAAATATTAACGAGCTCTTCATTCCCAACCCAGAATTCCTGTAACACCACACAGAACAACTTAAGCATCATAAAAATTCAAATCTTTAATTCCAAAGAGAATAGCAAATCAATAAAAGAAAGAGAACAAAACCTGAAGACAAATTATGGCAGATCTTTCATACAACAACCAATCTAAAATCCTATTATTCCTTTGTAACCAATAATCTTTCACATCACTTTCCCTGCAAGTCTGGTCCTGAACTTTCCCCAAATGTACATTAAACAAAAACCCATTAAAAATCAACAACTTTCAAACAAAAATCACTATGTAAACGAACATTTTAGAATAGAGCATACCTCGGGATTGAGTCTTTTGTAAATGGGGGCAAGAATGTTGAAGGTGGTGCAAGAAATACAGGTCGGATCCATTATGGATGCGGGTATTGCATAACTGCCGGGTCTTGAAACCCTCCCTTTGTTTATCTTTCGGTTCTTCCTACCCATTCCTGCCAATATATTTGTAATTATGTGTGTAGGATTCTTGCAATTATCTTTGTGTTGCTTTATGGATGAAACGATAAATAGAAGGGGAAAGGAGATGATTCAAGACAAGAAAGAAATTTGACTGACAAAAACGTTTATTTTATTGGAAAAACAAAGATCCGATTGTTGTTTTGTTGGCTAAAATTGTTCTTTTGATTCATAAGAAGACGACGAACAATGTTAACCACCAAATTTTTCAATATATAGATGAAAAAGTATAAAGCAGATAATAGAGAGCGAATTTTGTTTTCCACTGAAAATGAGTGGGAAGTGCTTATGGCAATTTCGAATCTAGAATTACTATGGGCTTGCTCGTTGTTTCTTTTCACTTTCATTTTAAAATCCGTGTCTTAAATCCCTGTTTGGTCCAGCTTTTCTGAATTGTAAACCGCGGATACAGCTTGTTTGGGAGCGATTTTTTGCCCCAAAAAATTGATTTTTTGATCGTTATTTCACTATTTCAGCTGTCATATTTGACTTCTTCTCTTACAAGGGGACTTCACTTTTCTCCTAACGGTCAAAAAATCAATTCTCAAAATCACTCGCAAACAGGCCCTATGATTAGAAACATAAAGTTTGATGAACTTATAATCTAAAAAAAGTTGAACCAAACATGAACTATATTATCAAGAAATAATAGTAATAACAAATTGGAAGATTCTAATTGTACATAATTATTGTACATAATGGTGTTCATAATGTGATGTGGCAATTATCTGATTGTTGATGTGCAAGTGTGAAATTTGAATTAAAAGTTGAACTCAATGCCACGTGTAATTATGAATACCATTACGTAAACAATTATGTACAAGCAGGGGCGGACCCACATGGGGTCATGTGGGGTCAAATGACCCCACAGTTTTTTTTTTCCATTTTTTCCATTTTTTTTATTTTCTGATGCTGAAAAGATTATTTGGGTTTGGGGTTCCAAATTCCAATTAATTATTCACTCCAATCCATTAATCCTATGAATTTATTTTCGTTAATGATACGTTGTTCGAAAAAAAATTTATTTTTGACCCCACAGTCCGAAGTCTCTGGGTCCGCCCCTGTGTACAAGTAGCACTTCCCTAACAAATTTACATGGTTGGCTAAGCTTTATTAATAGGAAATAAATTAAAGTTTAGTTGTGGTTATGGTTATGGTTAAATAATGAATTTTATTTATTTTTTTTTTTGGTAATTTGTCCGCTCTTTATTATTTTTCTTTACTCTTTAAAGGGGAACAAAGTCCATTCCTTAATCTGCTTTAGCTTTTATTGCATTTAGTAATTGAATAACTTAATTGTAGAAATTTGTTTATCTAATTAAGTTAAATTTTTATATAAGAGATATTTTTAACCGTGATTAAGCATAACAAAAAATTTAGAAGTTAATTAAATTGTTATTTATTTTCATTCAAATCATGTTTTATTCCCCTGTTCGTCAAGGCACGCATTCCATCTCGAAAAACTTTTGTTACAATAGGGTTTTAGTAAAAAATTGGTTCCATCAATTCACCTAATTGGAAAAATAAATCACCATGATCGTTAAAGAAAAAAATATCTTTTATTATAATTTACTATTTTATTAACAGTCTGTTTGAAAGAGATTTTTTACTCTAAAAAATTGATTTTTTTATTATTATTTTACTATTTCAGCCGTAATTTTTGACTTCTTTTCTCACAGGTGGACCCCACTTTTCTTCTAACAATCAAAAAATCAATTCTCAAAATTCCTCCCAAACGGAGCCTAACATTCGACCTGCAAAACTTAAAAAATAGGTTAATGGGGGGTAAAGAGTGCAAGTTTCATAGACTTTTTCTTTTATTTTTTTGGAATTAAAATCTATTTCATCTAAATGATTAAAGTAGTGAATTTGGCTGGCATATATTGGATTATTCCTCTAGAAAGTGAAATAATCTGGAATTTTAATTTTAGATTTTAATTTTAATTTTTTGCTCCCTTCTAGATTTCAGAATATCTGCCAAACGCATGATATTACTCCGAACGCTGCATGATATTATTCGCAGAGGTATATTGCACAAGCGATTCTCAAAATTAAAGGACAATAGATTTTTGAAAATAAAATTGTGAAAAATGTATAATTAAAAAGTATGAAATAGTTATGGTTCATACTTAAAATTATATTATTAAAAAATGAGTATTGAAAATAAATTTTAAAAAAAAAATGATAGTTAAATAGTTTGTACCGAACTGGGGATAACTCATTTACGCTTTAATTCTACCTCAACATTTAACTATTATGCTTCCGTTTGGATTATTTATAAAGAAAAAATGGTCGACTCAGTGAAATGTAATTGCTAATAAAGTTTGATCAATTATAATTAATCCAAACATGGGTGATACCTTTTACCTTTAGACGAGGTTGATGTTTGGATGATTGCGTCAAAAACAAACAAGTAAAACGTCTATAATGATTCGAGCGGGATGTGAATCTAAGTTTGATTAAGTTATCATGATGAGACCATGATGGGAACCATACATCTCGACTTAGCTATTTATATAAATAATATATTTTTTTTAAATCTTATAATTATGCACCTATTTGAGTCTTATTTTTTCATAACTTATTTTCAATCACAAATTCTCTCATAAAATAATTTTAGACGTAAATTCAAAATTTTTTTTACTTCTTAATCACACAATTTTTCATAAGATTACTATTTCACAATACATTTTACACTAAAAGTGAGAATCAAATGATTAATCAAAAAATAAGTGAATAATTTAAATGTGGAAATGGGGGACACAAAATGGAAATCCGATGTCATCTCACCTCTCCACAAGTGTATTCGCTACATTGTCATCCCACGTTGTGAGTTGCACTTCTACTAGAGTGATCATTATATTTTGTTTTCCTTTTATATATATTTTTACTTATTTAGCTTGTGAGTTAATTTATCTCGTAGTGTCAATTTAGTGATTGTTTGGGTTCCATTATAAGTTGTTTAATTATAATGTAGTAATAGAAACGAGTGATAGTAATTGTGGATCTTATAAAATGTATGATTAAAATTAATGTTTGATTTTCACAATTTGGATAAAAACAGTAAATAGGGACTAAATGCATTTTTCCTGTTTACGAGGTTTGAAATAGGGAAAATACTTTGTCACTTATCGATATTTATTTATTTTTAAATGTGATGGATAAATAAGCTTTTTTTAAGCTCCCCATGGACTTTTTGGAAGGAAGTCAATAACATAGACAAAATATGTGTTAATTAATAAAAGATTAAAGATAAAATTTCAAAACAAAAAAATTTAAGGACATAAGTACTACAGTGAGCGAGCGAAGCTGAAGGACCTTGTTGCATTTAGAAAGTGATGCGACAAATAAAAATATTGTCTGACTATAACTAGAAAAATTCTACTTGTACATAATTATTATACATAATGATGTTCATAACATGATGTGGCAATCATTCGATTGTTGATGTGCAAGTATGAAATTTGAATTAAAAGTTGGATCTAGTACCATGTGTAATTATGGATATCATTATGTAAACAATTATGTACATGTAGCACTTCTCATATAACTATCATTAGATGAACTAATAATACAATAATGTTTTATTTTAATTTTGCTTTAAGTATATAAAGCTTTTTAAATTAGTGTTTTGGCGATTAAGAGGGTGTTTGGGACTCATTTTCATGTAAAAATGCATTTTAGAATAGTAAATTGATGGGAAATGTATGGTTGAAAAATGAGAAAAAGTTTTTGATTTACGTGTAATATTATTTTAATGAAAAATGTGTGGTTGAAAATAAGAGAAAAAAATTCATTTTGAAAAAAATGATTTCCAAACGGGGCCTAAATCATTTATCAAACAAATAAACACTATTGATTTTATATATAATTTCACAAAATAAAACAGGACAAAATCGTTTAAATGCAGGTTTATCTTTCTCGTTGGAATTTTTTCTTCTTTTTTTGCTTTTGTCAATTATTTGTACAGTCCTTCTCTCTCCACCTCTTAAAAAAAGGATATTATAAAATATATTCTTCACCACTAAGCAAATTGTGAACTAAATTCCTTAAATAGTGCCAATAATGTCTGGAAATTCTCTGGTGCAAATGCTACTGTCAATTGTGATAACTGAATATGATTAAAAGAATATAATTATAGACTCGTTTATGTAATTTTGGACTTGTTCGATAGTAATTTTGAGAATTTATTTTTTGTTCGTTTGAGAGAAAAGTGAATTTTACCTGTGAAAATATAAATCAAAAATAACGATTTGAATGTTGAAATAACAGTCAAATTTTGATTTTTTTTGAGTAAAAAATTAATACCAAATATGCACTTTATATCATAATTGTGTTGGAAATGCTCTTAACTGGTTGACAGATTTGTAAATATATAAAGAAAGAATAATATTCTTCAAAAATTAATTAGGCTTGTAAAGGAAGATTCCATTTACTTCTCACGCTAAAATTGGCTAGACACAATCTTTAGGTAACACAGTTGCATCACACTTTCAATTATTCATTCTAAACTCAACATCACGTGTTTACTTGTCAATATTATCTGCGAAAGAAAATTTCCGGTAATTATTTTAATTAAATGATATTTGAGGTGATCGGTATATAATTGTTTGGTTATATAATTATTATAAGGAAATTTCTCGTATTTAGAGTGTTTATGTTAATTAAGAATTTTAATTTTTCTTAATATGTGAATCTCATTTATCTTTAATTTAGAACCCGTTTGATAGCCATTTTCTTCAAAATGCATTTTTCTCTCTCTTCTTTTTAACTACACATTTTTTATTAAAATAACATTACACGTAAATCAAAAACTTTTTCTTATTTTTCAACGGCACGTTTCACATCAATTTATTAATTTTAAAATATATTTTTACATAAAATGCCTATCAAACACCCCCTTAGTGTCAGCATCAGGTTAGTGAATTCATCCTTTTTTAAAGAAAATGTCGCCTGTCGGTCAGTAGTCGAGCATCAACACTAGTCATCTTTAATTGCTTTGTGTATCTTTGGAAGTTTGCAAGTCAAATGACGATTCAATAAACAATCTTAAACCACATACCAAATAATTTTATAAAAAATACATATCTAGCCAATGCGTGAGTTAAGATATTTCAGCAATTTTTTATTTTCAATTTTTCAAAATTGAGTATTTAATTTTTTTTTTAATTTGGTTTATTATAGGTCGACTAACATATATAATAAAATCATATAATAATATATCACAAAACTGAATTTTAATCTAATTCTTGCTCTTTGAAGGTATTACATTCGTCTTGCGAT